GAATCGATGCAGTAGATCACGAAAATTAGAATCACGATGCATCATCATCACGATTATTTTGCACACCCCTAATATATACTATATATACTCTTTCATGAGCAAATTTAATCTGCTGGTTTAACGCCCTGTTCTTGAATCTAAGTATAATATAATGTTGCCCCTTTATTATTTTTACCATTATTATTGTTCCCTGTCTGCTTATATTTGTTTTTCTTCTGTATTAAGATAATAATAATAATAATAAGGAATTTTATTTGTAACGCACTTTACATTTGAATTCAAATCTCAAAGTGCTACATTTTAAAAAAAGGGAAAATAAAAACAAGGTTAAAAGACCATAACATTAAAAACAGAGTAAAAAGACAATCATTAAAATCAATAACATATTCTTTTTGCACTTTCTGTGAATGCAATTAATGCAGTTCTGTACTGGTACCTGGTGTAATGTACATTGGTTAAATAAAGTTTTTTATCTCCATATCCAAAGGGAAAAAAAAAAAAAAAAAAAAAATTCTCTTTAATAATCAAGAATTTTTGTGCCACTTTAAGATTCCTATAAGCCCCAAACTGTTTGCTTTTGTTTTTGATGTTATTCCACCAGATGTTATAATGTTATTCAAAGGTCAGACTTCTCTGTTCTCCAAAGGCCCAGAACCTCCAACTGAACTAACTGACACCCATGTAGGTAAATTGTGTTTTCAACCCAAATCTTATAAAAACAACAAACATATTCATACTTTATTCCAAGCAAACTGCATCTCAGTTCCTTACGTAATTTCAGTCTGGTCTCAGAGGTCTGCTGGAACAAAACTTGGTCTTTACCTAATAAATATTTACTAGTAAACAAGGTTAAAGAGGTTTCCTCTGCTTCTTAAGCTGCTGCCCCCGCGACGCGACCCCGGATAAGCGGAGGAAGATGGATGGATGGATGGATTCCTTTAAGATCATTTACCGCTGTTATCCAGTAAAGTCATTTTTGGTTAAATATAAAAAGGACATTGATACCACTTGTACTTTCTGCAACATTTACACAGAGTCTGTCTTTCACCTGTTTTGGTCCTGTGAACACACCAGGTGTTTTTGGCAAGGTATCTGTCGCTTCAATATTTATTACAAATTTGAACTTTATTTTAAAGATGTTTTGTTTGGAATCACAAAATATAAAAAAGAACTTTTCTGATAATATCTTCTTATGTAATCTTTCTCTTTCTCTTTTGTGTTGGCCAAGTTTTATATCCACAAATGTAAAATTATTATGATTAAACCCTCATGTATCTCTTGTTTAAAGGTAGCAACAACTTATTTTTCTACATTGTCCTCTTAAAAAACCGAAAAGGCTGTTAAAACTTTA